GTGCCCTGACTGGGAATTGAACCTGCGACCCTTTGATTCGCAGTCCACACTCAATCCACTGAGCAACACCAGCCAAGGCATTGTTTAAACATTTTATGAGTATGCTCTGCTTGCGCTTTTGGGGTAAGGTAGAAAACCAAGGGCAGGTGTAGAACATTAGAGCATAAAAGTCAGGGGGCTGCTTACAAACTAGAAGAAAATACACACTTTTTGGTTACAAATTAGCCAGTTTAAGAGGATTACAATCAGGTGACTGAGTTTGATCTGTAAGAAACCTGTAGGAAAACGTTAAAAGCACTGAGTGATTTCAGCACTTCAGTTCCTTCTTTGGATAAAGGGCCGGGACGGAGATGGTGACCAGAAGAAACACGTGTCGTGGAGAGATCAGGTGCTCCTTGGAGGCTTGTGGAGAGATGGTTTCTGTCCCCTGGAGAGGGTGATAGCTCGGTGGGTGCAGAGGGAGGAGGTGCACTTCTTCCTGGGGGGGCTCCTGCTCCACTGTAGGGACCAGTGAGGGGTCACCATCCTGGCTCTCGTGTCCGGGCAGCACTCAGAAGCGAGAGGCTGCAGGGCACAGCCCTGAGCAGATGGACATGATCAACACGGGGGGGTCTCCTGGTAAAGTCCCACTCTCAGTATCTGAGGGGAAGGGCAACGAGATGACTCAGTAGCTTCTTGCCGCAGGCTCCGCCTTTTCTCCACGCCTCGCCCCTGACCCCTGGACCCCTTACCCTGCCCCTCCAGTTGTCCTTCTGCTGTTGCTCATCTGCTGAATCCCTGTCAGGTTGCTCGATTCTGTTCCATTTTGCACCTCAGTCATTTCTGTGCTGTGTTCTCCCCGACCTATGCCTGAGCTCTGAGGACTGGGAGGGGATTGTCTTGAGTGTCCTTCTCAGCCCCGTGGGTCTCCTGGACTGGCCCCTAGACCAGCAGCATCAGCATCACCTCGGAACTCGCCCTCCAGGTGATGCTGAAATGTTTTGCAGTGTGGGAGCCGAGGCCCAGCCCTGGCCTGGTTTGTGGACTGATGTTAATGTGCAGTGGACTTGAGTTTGGTGGCCACCTTGGTCTCATAAATAGACTGATCTTGGTGTCTAGTGGTCTGAGTTTGGTGGGTCCACTTTAGTTCCAGTTGAGAGTTACTGAAGGGAAAGGAACCATTTCAGGCTCTCCTGGAGACGTAGGGACCGGGCAGTGGTGAGCCCCTGGCATGTTCCTCCCATCCTGCCTCAGTGGTCCCACCTCATCGTGGCGGAGCTGAGTCTGCTGTCTGGCGTGTACCCTTGCACTGTGCTGTTGTGGAGCCCTGTCGTAATTACACTGTTTAGGTCACTGGTTGTGGACAAGGTTGAGAACCATGAATGTCACCCTGAATTTGGCAAGTGCTACAGGGCTGGCATGGCGCTGCTGGTTGGCAGATGAGTGCACTCCTGCTGCAAGGAGGGGTCTGCGAGGAGGGGTCTCCTCCAAGTCAGGCTGGCCCTAGGGACCTCTTTAGCCCTTTTCCTGCCCCAGAAGGCCACTTGCCCCTGGCACTGGGTTTTCCCTGAGGTTTTCTGTTTGCCCCTTAGATGTTCTTAAGGTGAAGCCATTCTCATGACACATTCTCCAGTATTTTAAGTTCAGTTCAAGTTTTAACTTGTGGAGGAGGGGACCTGTTCCAAGTGAAATAGTAGTGCCTGTTTGGTGCTCAGTGCTGGGGGACTAGAGGCTGTGGCCTGGCTCTAGTTGCCATGGCGATGAAACTGGAGAGGAAACTAAATGATGCTCAGAGTCACCCTGAGGGGCCACTGGGAACAAACGAAAGTTTAGATTTAACGTTTGGGAATTTGGGAGCCCTCTGCCGTTCCTGCTGCAGTGCTGCGGAGTGGTCTCTCTGGAGGAACCTTCGCGGCTGCTCCAGCTCTGGTGTGCCGGGCCCCGCCCCCCCAGGCCCTGGTGTTCTCATGCTTGACTTGCAGTAGATACATAAACAGTTCTGATGATTGGGACTGTTTTTGTAAAATGGTGGCTTTCCTATTAGTGTAAATTGCTTTACTTTATTTTTTAAGGTAAAACATATATCATATGACATTTACCTTATCTTAGCTTTTTTAAGTGTACAATTTAGTGGTATGAAATCCATGGACATTGGGGTGCGGCCATTATCACCTCCATCTCCAGAGCATTCCATCCTCAGAGTGAAACTGTCCCCATTAAACAGTGGCTCCTGCTGTCATTTTTTATATAAGCAGATATATATATGTTTTCTTGTTCCCCATCTCTTGATATCAACACCCTCTTCTTAATGTCTTTCCCTGGTCGTACTCCTGGCACCCCCTCCCTCATTGCCCACACAAGCCCCGTTCCGAAAGCCGCTCAGCACCCTGTCTTGTTTATTCCAGAACTGCTGTTGTCTCCAGCCTTTGACGACGACAGACAGCCAGGCAGGCCCATGCTGTGTGGGCATCGTTTTCTCTTCCTGCCGGCTGTCTCTGGGGCCCCCCCTGCTGCCTGGTTATCTCCCACCAGACTCCCCTCCAGCGAGGTCGCTGCACTCCGCCTTCCTGTTGGCGACAGTGCCTGACCCCCACGGCCCTGAGCTGGGGCCTTTCTCTGGGCGCCTCTCTCGCTGCAGGCGAGACCAGTGCCTCTCAGTGGTCACAACCCATTTGCATTTCCTGTCTTGTAAATGCTTTGTTTATTCCTCTGTTCCCTTCTGTGAATTCTTGGTCTCTCTATTCCTTCAAGTGCTCCGTTAATCAGTGATATTGGTCTGTGTATGTACGTGAAAAGGAGGGGAAGGGTCTCGTGTTCTAGATCAGGTTCCCTGGCGTGGCAGAGGGTTCCCCATGACTGCTTCAGTTCCCTGGGGGCCAGTGCTGGGTGAAGTCACAGGAAAGGCCTTGGAGTGGCGACTTGAAATAATAATGCACACATAAATATATAAAGTGTGACTTTGTATTAGGGGTTTTAGACAAGGGTACATCAGTGCTTAATATAGTAAATGTCCTAATATTTGAGCCGCCCAGCCTGACCCGGGCACTTTCCCATGGGTGTGTTATGTTTCAGTGCAAATATATAGAAGATCGGTCTCTTCTGTCTCTTACCACTGGTCTTGTCTAAAATTGTGATAAAATATGTATACAAATTTGCCATTTTAGCCTTTTTAAGTGCACAGTTCGGCAGCATTGTTACATTTACAATGTTGTACGACCATCATCACTATTGATTTCTAAACTCTCTTTGTCCCCACGAACAGAAACTCCGTCCCGGTCAAGGAGTCACCCCCCATGGTCCCCTCCCCCAGTCCCTGCTAACCTCTGCTTCCTGTCCCTATGAATTTGACTGTGTTAGGGACCTCATGAAAGTAGAATATGTAATATTTGTTCTTTGTGTCTGACATCTCTCACTTAGCAGGATGTTTTCAAGGTTTCTTCCACGTTGTAACATGTTGGGGCTTCATTTCTTTCATGGCTCAAAATATTCCAGTGTCTGGATGGACCACATTTTGCTTATCTGTTCATCAGCTGATGGTGCACAAATATCTCTGAAGAGCCTTCATCCAGTTTTTTGGGGTGTTTCTCAGGGCTCGCAGTGGGCTTCTAATCAGACTTTTGCTTGGTTGGCCCCAGCAACCTGGGGACTTACCTGGCCCCTTGTGTCTTTTCTCCCCTTGCTCCCCACCTACTCCAGGTGCTCCATTAGATCGGGGCCAAGCCGCCTGAACTCAGAGCCTTTGTTTCCTCGTCTTATAAGATAGGGGTTTAGATTAGATGGTCACTAAATTGTTTTTGATTTTACCTCTGGGTCCTGTCGTGTGGCAGATGGCCACCCATCTATACTCTGCATGGGGAGCCATACCTACAGGAGCTCCCAGCATCCTGGTCCAGGTCCACAGCCTGCTGGGCAGCAGGGTGGGAGCGGACCTTTCCCCAGCCTCATGTGGTGCTCCTGGCCATCACTGGAGGTGAGGGGCCTTGTCCTCTGATTTGGGGACTTGTAGCAACTGGCCCTTGCCCTGTTCCTCAGGTCGCTCAGGGGGATAGTGCTGCATTTGGTCCTTGGTGCATCCCTCCCCCTCTTGCTGTGTCTCTTGTCTGGGGGACCTCCATGTAGGCTCGGTCCCTATGTTGCACATGTATTAAAACCTTCTGAACCTCCTCTGCAACTGCTGCCTCCCTGCAACATTAACTGCTGTCACTGCTTGGGGAACTGCATGTGACTCTCCCAGGGAGCTAGTGGCTCTGAGCTTTACATGGCCTGTGTGACACTGCCCCTTCTGTCCTTCCTCCCCATCTGCTTCTCTCATGGCCTGTCTCCCACCAGCGTCCCCCTCCAGCCATGGCCAGGCTCCCGTGTTTCTCCCATGGCTCCTCCTCTCCCTCCTTGGAGGGGTCCCTGAAAGTACCTGGGTGGGGGTGGGAGAGGCCATCAACCCTTTAACTGATGATGCTCGTCAGGAAACGTGAACGACATGGCTGCATCCTGGAGGTGAACTTTATTTAAAAAGTTATAAAGGATTGCCCTGGCTGGTATAGCTCAGAGGATTGAGCACAGGCTGCAAACCAAAGGGTCACTGGTTCGATTCCCAGTCAGGGCACATGCCTGGGTTGTGGGTCAGGTCCCCAGTAGGGGGCACCCAAGAGGCAACCACACGTTGATTGATGCTTCTCTCCCTCTCTTTCTTCCTCCTTTTTCCTCTATCTAAAAATAAATAAAATATTTAAAAAATAAATAAAAATTACAAAGGATGATTTTCAGGGAAATTCAGTGTGGTGTTTTCTGCCAGGTGTAATCGATGGATTTGTGAGGGTCTGAGTGCCTTGAGGGAGGGTCCCAAATCAGGGACAAGAGCTCTGTCCAGTTGTGTCAGCCCTTCCGTTAGAGCAAATGTTTGGGTGAAGGAGAATGGAACCAGCTGCTGGCCAGGTGCTAATCAGAAATGGAGCAGACTGGCACTGAGGGTTGTCCCCAGGTGATAAGGCCGAGATGGCGTGTGTCACTCCTCTGCTTCCTAGGTGTCCGTACCTGCACCGGACAACAGGAGACACAGAGCGCAAGTACCACCTACGCTACTACAAGACAGGCACGTGCATCCATGAGACCGATGCCCGGGGGCACTGTGTGAAGAACGGGCTGCACTGTGCCTTTGCACATGGGCCCCTGGACCTGCGGCCACCTGTGTGTGACATCAGGTGAGTGGGGCGTCCTGCACTGGGCAGGCACGAAACCAGCTCACCTCCCCAGCATTTCAGCCATCACTGGTCTTAAACAACTCTTTTTCTGGGCTTTGACTTTTATTCTAATAAAATAAAGTTTTCTTCCTTCTGACTTGTGTGCCTTGGGAGCTCACTAGGGCCGAGGGAGATGAGCGACATCCTTCATAAACACAACACAGCTGGAAGTCACTGGGATTTGGGTCAAGACTGTCGGCCCAGGATGGGGGTGTGTCCGAGGGGTCCCAGGTGCCTGTCCTGCACCCTCGAGGCAGTGAGCTTGTACAGTGATGAGCAGGGGGGCTCCTTAAAGTGACAGAACCAAGTGATTCTCTCACCTCCCGGAAGGGCCTTGGACACACCCCGGAGCTGTAATCCATGTGTTGTTTGGTCGTAGGGAGCTGCAGGCCCAGGAAGCCTTGCAGAACGGCCAGCTTGGCGGTGGGGATGGCATCCCTGATCTGCAGCCTGGGGTCTTGGCCAGCCAGGCTATGATTGAGAAGATCCTGGGCGAGGACCCCCGGTGGCAAGGTAACCAACCCCGTGGCCGTCACTGATGGTGGGCCGGAGTAGCCCTCATCGCTCTGTGTAAAGTGATGACCCCCACAGTGAGCCTCGTTACCCTCATCTGTAGATCAGATGGGGAAACAGGCTCACTGAGTCGAGTACTTTACCCTCGGTCCCAGGGGGTAGGGATGGAGTGACGTATGAGCCCAGGCATCTGGCACCCCCCTTCTCTGAACCTTGATACCACAGCTTCTCGGAGCAGAGGTCACACAGCTGGCGCAGCTCCTTCCCAGACATCCCAGAGCTGGCCAGTGTCCACATTGCTCCCTGCCCCTGCCCAGTGGGCCTCCGTGTGGCCTTCAGATCAGCAACCTTCGGTCCCCGAGGGTTTGTCTAAAACATGAGTTCATGGCCATGTCCCTTGGTCCTGTCCCAGCAGCCTCCTCAGATGATAGTAAGAGGCAGTGGAGTTGTTTACTTAAAATTTTATTGTGGTAAATACACATAACATAAATTTGCCATTTTAAACCAAAAGTGAACAATTCGGTGGCATTTAGTCCATTCTCTAAGTTGTACAACCACCACCACTGTCTGATGCCAGAACGTTTCCATCACCCTGGACAGAAACCCGTTTCCCGTTAAGCAGTCCCTGCCCTGGACCCCGGCTTCCTCTAGTCTGCCTTCTGTCTCTATGTATTTCCCTGTTCCATATTTTGCCTAAGCACTGAAGTTTTAAGAAAAGCCCTGTAAGTAATGATGTGTCTCTTCAGATTTCCTTTACTGATTTCCACACACATAAACAACACTTTAAAACTGTAGTTATTTGGCTCTGCCTGAATAGCTCAGTTGGTTAGAGTATCATCCCGATACAGCAAGGTTGTGGGTTCGATCCCTGGTCAGGGTACATACAAGAATCAACAAATGAATGAATAAATAAGTGGACCAATAGCCCCAGCCGGTGTGGCTCTGTGGTTGAGTGCTGGCCTGTGACTCAAAGGTTGCCATTTAGATTCCCAGTCAGGGCACATGCCTGGGTTGCAGGCCACGTCCCCAGTAGGGGGTGTGTGAGAGGCAACCACACATTGATGTTACCCTCCCTCCCTTTCTCCCTCCCTTCCCCTCTCTAAAAATAAATAAAATCTTAAAAAAAAAGTAAGTGGAATAACAAGTTGGGTTTTTTCTCCTTTAAAACCAGTTTTAAAAAGATTTTACTTATTTGTGTTTAGAGAAAGGAGAAAGGAGGAAGAGTGAGTGAGAGAAACATCAATGTGCGGTTGCCTCTTGCGTGTCCCCCACTGGGGACCCTGCCCGCAACCCAGGCATGTGCCCTGACTGGGAATTGAACTGGCAACCTTTTGGTTCACAGGCCCGCATTCACTCCACTGAGCTACACCAGCCAGGGTGAAAATAAATTTTTAAAAAATTAAAAACAAAACAAAACTGTAGTTGTTCAAGCAATGAATTCTCTTACAATGCCTTTCCTCTGCTCATAGAATGTCTGTGCTGGGGCTGTGGTTCCAGGGGTAAATTAAGGTGACTGCACTGGCCTTTCCCGATTTCCCTCCTACCTCCCCTCCTCGGGCCCTGGTACCATGTGTGGCACCTGCCTGGCCAGCACTTGGGACTCAGGACTGGGCCCCCAGCTGGAGCAGCACTGACGACTGTGGCCTTTGGCCTTGTCTGGGTGTGGAGGGTGGTCAGGGACTCTGATCCAAGTTTCAGGGGGACCTGCTTGTGCTGTTGTGTCTGTCCTCATGTCTGTTGTCACTGCTTGGGCACAGCCTCCCCACAGAGGAAGAGCTGTGTGCCCGCAGCAACCTGCTTGCCAGTGCCGAGGATACATGCTTCACTTGAGAAAATGCCTTCGAAATTGTTCCCTTTCTTGTTTTCCGTCTGGTAGGCCTCCTTGGCTGGAAGATGCGTGATACCCACCTCCGTAAAGCGGGTGCCTTGGTTCACACTGCAGGTGTGGGCGAAGGTCCCCGTGCCAGCACAGGGCTTGCTGAGCATGAAGGAGGTGAGAGGAGGGGACCGGCAGGCAGGGCCTGTAGCCCTCAGTGCCTGCACCCTCCTTGGGGTCAGGAGTGTCTCTAGTCCCGGCGCCCTGTTTTCCGAGTGCTCTAGCTCCCACCAGTGGCGCTGAGACCCACCGTCTCTTTCAGAGGAGCCGTTCCAGACCGCTTCCGCATTTGCACTTTTCACCCATAGGTGGTGTCTAGGTTGTTCATCAGTAGATTGTGTTTTTTAGGGAAGTTTTAGATTTACAGAAAAGCGGTGCAGAGTTTCTGTGTCCCTCCTCGCAGGTTCCCTCATTTTGAGCGTCTTGCATTGATGTGCATTTGTTACAGTTGATGAGCCAAGATTAATACATTATTATTATTAATCACAGTTTACTTGACGGTTAACGCCTGGTGCTGTGTGTTCTCTGGCTTTCACAGATGCATAATGATGCATGTCTGCCATCGTAGTATCAATACCCTAAAACTTCTCTGTGCTCAGCCTGTTCCTGCCTGCACCCGCACCCCCCCGCCCCAGCCCCTGGGACCACAGACCTTTTGCTCCATTGTTTTGTCTCTGTAGTTGCACCTTTTCTGGAATGTCACAGAGCTGGAATCATCCATGGTGTAGCCTTTTCAGACTGGCTGCTTTCACTTAGTCACATGAATTCAAGGTTCCTCTGTGTCTTTTTGTAGCTTGATAGCTCATTTCTTATTATCACTGAATAACATTCCCTCATGTGGGTGGATTATGGTGTATTAGTTCATTCACCTGCTGAAGGACAGCTGGGAGCCTCCATGTCTCACGGGTGTTGTCACGCATCTCGTGTCTGTGTGTTCCGTGTCACTTACACAGGACCTCATATTTGTCCCAGGCACTTGGTCAGTACTTGTAAGTTTTTGTTTTCTTAAAATCAGCTATTTTGTTGTGCAAATCCCTTTTATTCTCTTTATGCCTCTCTATGTGGCTAGCACCACTTGTCGAGTAAGAAGTTATTTGCAATTGGACTTGGCGTGGGTGGACGGTATGGTCATGTGTCCACCCTGTGCACAGCGCTTCTTGCTCCCACCCGCATCGTGGGGCAGGACTGCCCCCTCCCTCCCTCCCTCTCTCCCTCCCTCCTGCCACGTCCTCGTCCACCAATGCTTGTTTAGTCCCCTGAGCAGACGTAGTTACAAACAACGTATTAAGAAGTATAAACTGGTAGTTACATAATAGTCATGTGGATGTAAAGTACAGCATAGGGAGTATAGTGAGTAATATTGTAATAGCTCTGGCTGGTGTGGCTCAGTGGATTCAGTGCTGGCCTGCGAACCAGAGGGTTGCTGGTGCGGTTCCCAGTCAGGACACATGCCTGGGTTGCAGGCCAGGTTGCCTCTGGGGGGCACTAGAGAGGCAACCACACATTGATGTTTCACTTACCTCTCCTTCTCCCTCCTTTACCCTCTCTCTAAAAATAAAGAAATTAAGTCTTAAAAAGTAATATTGTAATAACAATGTATGATGTCAAGTAGTTTCTAGACTTAAAGGGGGGGTCCTTTGTATATTGTATAAATGTCTGACCACTGTGCTATACACTGATATAAAGTACTGTTGAATGTCAGCTGGAAGTGAAAGAAACCCAGTATATATAATGAGGTGTCAGTTATTAACCAGCCCAGGATAGGGTGGGAATTTTAGGAATCTTGTCATCATTTACTGTATGTATGTATGTATTTTTAAATGTTTGCTGTTTTTAAATGATCCTGGAGGCTTTTTGTGTGTGTTTTTTTGCTTTGAAATAAAATTCAGATGCATGAAATTAATCATTTAAAAATAGATTTTATTTTTAGAGGAGTTTTAGGTTTCATGTGAGTGGGAAGTTCAGAGCCCCAATGCCCCAGTGCGCCTAGTGCCCCGCTGTAGTGGGACATATGGCGCAGCCTTGAACCCATGCCATGTCACCCCCCAGTCCCTCGCTTACTCCAGGGCTAAAATGAACCATGGAAAGTGTGCATTTCAGTGGTTTTAGTGTAGTCAAAGGTTGTGCTACTACTGCCTTTGTCTACTTCTAAAACTCTCTCTAGTTTCTCCAAAGAAGCCCCACACCCATCACCATCACTCCCCGTGCTCCCCTCCCCCGGCCCTGGCAGCCACTGGTTTACTTCCCGTGTGCGGATTTGCCTGTTCTCCGAGTTCCACATAAATGCAGTCACACAATGTGTGGTCCTTCATCTCTAGCCTGTCCCACTGAGTGCAGTGATTTTGCGGCTCATCCACTCAGGAGGAGTGCAGGCATCAGTGCTGCATTCCTTTCTGTGGCCCAGTGGTTTTGGGATGGACCACATTGTACATTCATCTGTGGATGAACACTTGGATTATTTCTTCTTTTTGTTTTTAAAGATTTTATTTATTTTATTTTTAGACCCAGGGGAAGGGAGGGATAAAGACAGGAAGAAAAAAGAGAAACATTAGTGTGTGGTTGCCTCTCACGTGCCTTCTACCAGGGACCTGGCCCGAAACCCAGGCGTGTGCCCTGACCAGGAATTGAACCGGAGACTTTCTGGTTTGCAGGCCGGTGCTCAATCCACTGAGCCACCCCAGCTAGGACAGGTTATTTTTTCTTTTGGCTATATGAGCATGCATGTATTTGTTTCCATGTGGACCCCTGTTTTTCAGACACCAACTTTGTGCTGGGCAGCTACAAGACCGAGCAGTGCCCGAAGCCTCCGCGCCTCTGTCGCCAGGGCTATGCGTGTCCTCACTACCATAACAGCAGGGACAGACGGCGGAACCCCAGGAGGTTCCAGTATAGGTGAGCCCCGGGACCATGGGCACCTGGGCCTTTATCCGCATTCTCCTTCGGGCCCTGAGGTCTTCGTCCAGCTGTTTCTTGGAGGGAAGAACCACTCTCTACTTACCCGAGGCCGCCTCCCTTGCCAGGGAACCCGCTGCATCGGGCAGAGACTTGGTTCGCCACAGTCATTGTTCTTTCTCTGAGACATTCCAGAAAGGACCAGAGGACCTTAATTAGTGGTCTCTGAGTTTTAGTGACCAAGTGTTAGCTTGGGAAGGTAAAGTAAATTTACTGCATACAGAACGGTAGAAAATTGTAAAAAAAAAAAAACCCACCCAACAACAAAAATGACCAATAAAACAAAAAGTCTTATTTACCACTGATGGTATGTTTTTCTATGAATCCAAATAAGTTACAGTAAAGCTGCCAAGTACATGAAAAGTAGAGGATTTTGGTTAGAATTTTCATATTGTGGAAAAAAGTCTCACATCTTATTTTGAAACAACCTCAAGAAAAGGTAGGCTGTGGGCTCCGGCTTGTCTCCTCCTGGCCTCAGGTGGGCCGGCTGCTTCTCCAAGACACTTCTCTCCTCTGTGTGGGTAGCCCTGACTTAGACTCACTTTAATTTTTGTGGAAAACAAACACAGGGATCCTGAGTACTTTCTGGGTCAGACGGCACATTCCCCCCTCTTGCTTGTCCTCAGAAGGAGAAAGACCAGCCCTTCCAGGGGCCGTTTGCCTGTGGCCCTCTGTGGTGTGGGTGCGCCATCCTGAGAGGCCAGCACCCCAAGGCACGCAGAGAGGACATCGCTACTGACCTAGGACTCCCCCTTGTCCTCCAGGTCCACTCCGTGCCCCAGTGTGAAGCATGGCGATGAGTGGGGTGAGCCCTCGAGGTGTGACAGTGGGGATGGCTGTCAGTACTGCCATTCACGTACGGAGCAGCAGTTCCACCCTGAGGTACAAGTGGCGGGGTGGGGGGGCTCCAGCTGGCTGGTCAGTGTCACAGCTCGGGAGAGGGTGGGTCCGGGTGACTCTTCTCTTGCCATGTTCAGGGTCCCTAAGACCACCCTCAGGTCCAGAGGGACTCACGGGACTCAGCGGAGCCATTAGGTCTGCAGTTAGGGTTCGTTGCCCCAGAGGGTTTCTGATTGAAATCAGTAGGGAGCAGTGTCCTCAGCGGCCAGGCACGAGCTTCCAGCTGGCCCTTCCCACTGAGTGAGGGGCAGCGCTCGTTTCTGCCGGTGACTCTGTGTGACAACACAGAGTGTTCCCAACCAGGGAACTCACCTGAGCCTCGGTGCCCTGGGTGGTTTCGTTTTGTTTTGTTTTTCCTTAGTGTCCAGGGTTTTTGGGGGCGTCGGTTGTAGAGACATGGCTGACCTAGGTTGACTTGATGCCATGGGGTCCAGGCCCCCCCACCAGACACGGGGTCACCACCCATTGTGGTCCAAGGCCTGGTGAATAGACACTAAGGGGGAAGATGTTCTAGGGGCACAGAGGTCACCTCCTTGGAGTTGGTCAAAGCCAGTCCTTCCTTTGGCCTGTGCTTGGTGTGGTCAACAAGAGTCCACTGAGCTAAGCAGAGCTCACTTGGATTTGTGTTAAAAATGAATATGTCAACAAAACTCCTTCGGAGCATGAGTTAGCAGGAGAGCCTGGGGACCAGGTGAGGGGTGGGGGCAGGAGCAAGGATATGGTGGAGGTGCCCCCATGGGTGCGGTGACACTGGTGCTGGTCCCTGTGAGCTAAGGGGTGGGCTCATTTCCTGACCTCCAGGAACCTAGCGAGGAGAAATGGCCCGTGCAGGGTGGCGAGGGCGACCCTGTGGCCTGCTTGGCCTGGTCAGGGGTGAGCGCTGTCCTCCATGGCGGAGGGTTGCTTCAGGCTCTGTGGGAGGGAGGCACTGGGCTGTGCAGTGGGCTTCGGTGGAATCCCAGCCCTCGCCGCCTTGTCTGTGAAGGCGAGACGTGCATTTGGGGGCATATGGCTGCTGGTCTCAGGTTTTTTCTTTCCTCTTTTACTCATATGGTCATTCATTCACTCATTTGTTTGATTTTTGAAACTCAGAATATATTTTATGTTCATTCACAACAGAAGTGTCTGAATAAAAAGTCTCACCCCACCTCTTGCTGTGTGCCCCGGGGTCACAGCGGTCCCATACGGTTCTGTGGCTCCTGCAGCACTCGTGGTCCTTACCTGTGCCCCAGACTGATGCTTTTCTGTCTCTGTGGCTCAAGTAGGTGCAGAGCAGGGGCCTCAAAGGCACCGATAACCAGTGATTCTATGCTTAGCTGTGTTTGTTCTTTTTTATTTATTTATTTATTTATTTATTTATTTATTTTTAGAGAGGGAAGGGAGGGGGAGAGAGAGAGAGAGAGAAAGAGAGAGAGAAACATCAATGTGCGGTTGCTGGGGATCATGGCCTGCAACCCAGGTATGTACCCTGACTGGGAATTGAACCTGCGACATTTTGGTTCACAGCCCGCGCTCAATCCATTGAGCTACACCAGCCAGGGCAGCTGTGTTTGTTCTTAATGGTGTGAGTTGATACAGAAGAGAAAGCTAGCCGGTGGCACCCTTGGGGCCTTCACACCTGGCCTTATTCCAGGCGTGTGGGCAGTGTTTGCAGCCACACAGATGTGTGACTGCACCGTGTCACACACCTTGTTACCTCTGAGTTGTTTGCCATCTGTTTTTACACACACACCTTGGTGCACGCTTAAGCAAGACAAAACCCAGAATGGTGAACGTGGCCTGCCCTCATGGAGCACTGGCATGCGGCGCTGTGTGCCCCGGAGGCGCCCCTGTGGGAGCGCAGGTGGGGAGGGCGGGCGGAGCTGTGCTGAAGGAGGCCCCATGGGCTCCCAGAAGGGGCGGCACCTCACCCACAGGGTTGTGATTGCACTTCCTTTCTTGGAAGTGTGTTCTATTTAGATTCTATGCTTTAAAATGCACATACAGCGACATTTAGCTTCCTGATATTTTTAGTGAATTTGACACCCTTTGAAATTGCTTTTGTTGGTGTGGCTGCGAGGAGACAGTTGAAGCGTCATAGGAACTGAGAGGCACTGCTGGTGGGGAAGGGAGGAGAGGTGGTGAGACCTCAGTTTGGGGGTTTGGGGCCCGGACAGAAGAAGCGCAGGTGTCCTGCCAGGGCAGTGTCCGCGAGTGGTGTCTGTGCCTCACTGGCCTGGTCCTCCTGGGTCCCACTGTGCTGCCAGGTCAGACCCCCATTGTTGATGGGTTGAGAGTATCTTTGGCCCAAGTGAAGTGGATTGGGTCTGGCCCTGGAGTGGACGCATGTGTTCACTTAATAGGCATTTCTCGAACACCGTCTGTGCAACAGGCACCAAATCAAATGCATCTTTCAGAAAACGCCAAGTGGGAAATCCAACTTGTGTGATGTCGAGGACAGGGGCTGCCAGCGCATTCCCCGGGCTGACCAGCCCTGTGCAGAGGAGGGGATCTGGGACTGCGGGCACTCGGGGGAAGGCCGTGTTTACATCCCTCTCTCCAGACGACCCCAGCTCCGATTGGGAGCTTAGCCCTCCACATTGTGGTACTTCCAGCCCTGGGCTTCCTAGGGATACCCATTTCCAATCTAGTCTATCTTTTTTTATTTTTGTTTCCTAGATCTACAAGTCTACAAAGTGCAATGACATGCGCCAAACTGGCTACTGCCCTCGGGGTCCCTTCTGTGCCTTTGCGCATGTGGAAAGTAAGTGCTCACCACCCAGCAGGCTCCGCCTGGGCGGCTGTCGTAGGCACACCAGGCCAGGTGACTCACAGGAGCTTTCTGTTCCTCCGAGTGAGCTCTAAGGGTGGGGGGTGGGGACAGGCGGGAACACCCTGGCACGTGTTTTAGGGTTCTTGGGATGGGATCTGTTGTGGGCCAGGCCTTGTGGGGCCCAGAGGGGCCCTTCCCGCAGGTGCTCTGGGGTCCTGTGCACAGTGGCTGGGCCCTGGAATGGGCTGTTCGTTTCCAGGTTTGCGGGGAGGGCAGTGGTGGTCTTGGTGGACACTTGGGCCCGTAGAGAATTCCCAAAGGCAGAAGCAAATCTCGGTGGCAGGAACGCGCACACAGACTTGGCCTTTCCCTGGTGCTCCGAGGACTTCCTCATAAGAGCTTTTGAGTTTAGGTTCCAGTTTTTGAGTATAGTTGGCAACTGTAATTTTACTTTCTGATTTTTTAGCTCTCCTTATTAAAATTTTACATTGTTTTCTGATCTTCCAATCATTCAAGTGTTGCACCTGAGACTTGAAGGTCCTGTTGCCCTGACGGCTCATGTGGGGGTTCAGATGCCCCCTCTCCTGTCTCCAGGGAGGGTCTACTGTCATGAGACCAGTGCGCACTCTTTTCCCGGTTGTAGGGGACCCTCTACCCAGAGACCCCATGCAGCCCACAGCTGCTCATGGCCTGCTTTTCCCTTTTCTGCAGAGAACCTGGGAATGGCCAATGACTGGGGCTGCCGAGACCTCACCCCCACCAGCAGCTCCGCGGCCAGCAGCGGCCCCCCTGGAAATGTAAGTGGGCGGCGTCCCGAGGATGGTGCCTGGTGCCTACTGCCCTTTGTTTTTGTTCTAGTTGTTGTTCTGTTCTTTAAAATTGATTTTAAAGAGGGTGGAGAGAGAGAGGAAAAAAAACATCAATTTGTTGTTCTACTTATTTATACATTCATTAATTGCTTCTTATATGTGCCCTGACCAGGGATCAAACCCACCAGCTTGGTGTATCGGGACGATGCTTCTAGCCATGCGTCAGTTGAGCACCTGGCCAGGGCTGTCCTCTGTTTCTCCCGTCCTTTGGTGTTAACTGGACCATAAGGGCGGGTGGTTGTGGTTTCTGGGTGATGTGGTTGAAGACAGGCTGCCTGTGGATTGGTGGCTCCTAGGAGACTCTCAAAGAATCTTGGCTAAGTCCTGGCTTGGGCCTTGCCTTTTGGCAGACACACACATGTTGACTGTGTGTGAGGGTATAGTCTTGGGCCGACCGTGAAGAAAGGGCCCCAGGTTCAGGCGGGGGGGCCGTCTCAGGGCTGGGTGCTGCCTGGGAGGGACAGTTGAGGCAGGCTGAAGGCTGGTGTGGGCAGATCCCAGACGTGAGCACCCTCAGGGCTCCCAGTCAGGGTGGTCTGGAGGTTTGCCGGGACCGTGAGGTACTGGGGGGTCACTTCTGGGAGCTGGTAGCCCTGATGCGGTAGAGCCCGCAGTCACCGAGGGCAGAGTGAGACGGTGGGGACAGGGCTCAGACCTTTGGTGTGTGATGCTCCATCCAGCTGAGCCCCACCGGCCAGAGCACCACTTTAATCTTTTTTTAAGATTGATATATTTATTTTTAGAGAGAGGAGAAAGGAAGGGAGAAGGAGAAGGAGAGACATCGATCGGTTGCCTGGGGACCTGGCTCACAACCCAACCATGTGTCCCAACCAGGAATTGAACTGGGGACCTTTCGGTTTGCAGTGCGACACCCAACCCACTAAGCCACGCTGGTCAGGGCTGAAACTAATCATTTTAAAGTGGCACCTTGTACATTTACAGCGTGCAGCACCCCCTCTCTAGCTGGACTCCGCGCTGGTTGTCTTCCCATGAGACAATTCATGCAGACCTGAGGGCCAGGAGTGCAAGTTGAAGGAGAAGTTTAAAACTCTCTAAGAAATGTTCATTCAGAAGATTCAAGCATGTTTCAGTATGAAACATCAAGAATTTGGGTGACCAAGGCATTGAAATTGGCTAGCTCTGCTTGGTGACGCTGCCAGCAGATAACCGAGTGAATGTCAAGTGTGTGGGAAGGTGTGCAGGGAGCCCAGGTGCCCCGGTGAGCTCGGGCCGCCCTTCGGGCTCAGGTACCACGGGCGGGGACCTGTGGTTTCAGTAGTGACCCTAAGGGAACACATTGATGGTGACATGTGAAGAATTGTCAGACCTCAGTGTGGGCCTTGATGTCCCAAAGAAGCTGTTTCGTGGAGGGCAGCTTCCTTTTCCAGTTTTCTGGATCTCAGTCACCTTGACAACAAAACTAAGCATACACAAAGGGCTCACGGTGGCCAGCCCGGGCAAGCCGCTCCCTCGGTCCTCCCTTCTGCCTGAGTGTTCCACACACAGTCAGGTGACAGGCCACATACCTGTGTGACGGCCAGAGAGCGTGAGCTGCCCCTCCCCCCGTCGCCTGAGGGCACCGGGCAGGGGTAGCAGGAGAGGGGCCTGGACGGCTGTGCGATTCCAATTCCGACTTCGATTCTGATTCCGCTGCAGGGAGCTTTGTGGGCCTGCCAGGGCTCGGGACTTGCTTTCTGAAGGCAAGCAGAGCTGCTTCAGGATAATAAGATTTCTTCACAACTTAGTCTGAAAATGGGATTGGTCTTTGGTCAGCAGTTTAGGGGTCCCTCACCCAAATCTTCAGTGAGAGGTCACTTCTGGCTTTAGAGAAACCCAGGGAATCCAGACATAGCAGGCTGACCTCAGGGTGGGCTCGGCAGGCCCTCTGAGACGAGTGAAGGGGAAGGGCCCGCTGGCACCTGCATGGGCACCCTGTCTTCTCCTGCCCTTAGTGAGCTCTTTCAGCCCTTCTGCTACAGATGGGGTGCTGCGGTGGCGGGGTGGCGCTCCCCTGGGCAGGGCTGTCTGGGGCCAACCAGTATTATGTGAGTTTTTCACTGCGTGCAGGAAAGGTTTCACAAGTCCAGGTGACTATGAGGGGACATTTGTCAAAGCTGGGGACAGTAAAACGAGGACAAGCTTAGCACAGAAGAAGCAACAAGAGAGCCTAGGCTGGGCTGCCTGAGCTCATTGGGAAGTCAGAGAAAAGGGGCTTTGGGGACAGGTTCAGGGGACTAATCTGAGACAGTTGCTGCTGCCCATTGCTCCCCTGACTGCAAGTCTTGGGGTCCCTTAGAGTTTAGGAGATGCGCACCCATGGGGAAAAAGAGGGAAAGGGAATGGTGTGGGCTGCTACACAGACGGAGAGTGCTTATTGAGTCTTTTTTGTCTTGGGGCTTTTATTTCTCCCTTGCAGTCGGGAACCTTAGGAGAGGCTTGGGGGTGGGGGTGGGGCATCTTGGCAGAATATGCGTGGGTTCTCCAGGTGCGCCCTTTCAGGGTGGTGGTCTCACTGACCGGTCAGTGACAGAGCAGGGGTCTCTAGTCCCTGCAGCTGCTCTGAGCCTCAGCCACCTGGGCTGCTGGTTTTCTGGGCCTGGAGCTGAGAATTAGATCTTGTCATTAGGGAGGTGGCCTGGCTGTGGGCTGCACGGCCAGTGTGTTCAGCTGTCTGCCTGTTTCCCTATTCTGCTTGTTAAGGAATTTTCCTGGCTTTTTACTATCCTGCCGCACTTCTGCAGATCCAGAAAAAAAAAAAAAAAGGAAGAAAGGCCACAATGACCTGGGCCACCACTACAGATTCATGTATAAGATGGCATCAAAGTCAGAACACACCTCAGACCTGAAGGACATTTTGGTCTGCAGTTTGGGTGCTCGTGTTTGTCCTGAGGGACCGCAGAGCTAGGGTTTTTGTATGCGTAGGAGAGGAAAAATAGTTTTCCCTCCCCCCTTGTAGGTTCAGGGACTGGGGCCCTGAAAATTAAACTGACAAAAGATGTATTGACAGGAGGTCAAGACCCAAAGAACTGGTGAGACCAGAGGGGTTTCTGCCTCGGGGCAGTGGGCTGTGTCATGCAGACTTAGCCTCCTGCAGTCTCCTGAGTCACAGTGTCTGTGGTGACTGGGAGGCGGTGTCTGCTTGGTGTGGCTCTGTGGGTTGAGTGCCGGCCTGTGAATCGGAAGGTCATTGGTTCTATCCCGGGTTGGGGCACGTGCATGGGCTGCAGGCCAGGTCCCCAGTTGAGGAGCATGTGAGAGGCAACTGATCAATGTTGTCCTTTCTTTCTCCCTCCCTTCCCCTCTCTCTAAAAAATAAATAAAACCTTAATAAAAAAGAGGTGGCATCGCCTTCCTGGGAGGGTAGGGGAGCCACGTTCACCAAGGCGAGGAGAGGGAACTGCCATAAATCATCCTTTGTCTCGGGTGTTGGTCTTTCCAGAACTGCCCGGCTCTTCCAGGGCCGCCCTGCGGTGAAGGGCTTGTCGGGTTGGTGTGGGCTCGGTGGGAGGAGCTCACTGCTACCTTCACACAGATTAGCCCGGAGGTCAAAGATCAATGTCCCGGTGTAAGAAGTGGAATTCAGGAGAACCGTCAAAGAGCTAGCTGATTTGAAGGCCTTTTTTGTTTTATGAGACTTTAGTACATGCCATTTTCTACATTCTGAGCAAAGCTTAGGTTGCTGTATATGTTGAATCAACTGTTTTCCTTTTTCTGTTGCAGACGAAGCGGAGGGACTCACCTGCTGAAGGTGGCCAGAAAGCCAGTGAGCACGACAGCAAGCAGGTACCGTCCTGCGGCGGGGTCTGGCTGCCACGGGAGCGTGCGGGCCGCGCCTGCCCCAGCGTCCTAACTCACTTGGTCATGCTCACTCCTGGCAAAAGTGACCTAGTTAATGCTCGCGTGTAATCTAACTGTTTTTAGTTATCTTTTCCAAGTTGTCTATTCCATGTGTCCTTTGTTTTTAAGTGCTTAAAGAAATAGTGTCGTGCAGGCAGGCCTTGGAGATGTTGCGGTTCGGTCCCAGGCTGCTGCAGTAAAGCGAGTGTGGCAACAAAGTGAGCCGTGATCTCCTTGCTGGTGGAGGGTCTTGCCTTCAGTTTGCAAAAAACACAACGTTTGTGAAGCGCAATAAAACGAAGCCTGCCTATACCTTGGAGAAAACAAAACCCAAACCTTTGCAAGTTTCCTCCTTGGGAAAATAAGACTAGCAAGACGGCTCATCTGGGTCAGTGTCCTGGGGCCTCGGTGACACAGCCCCACAAGCTGGGGCCCTAAGGAACCCAGTTCATTCCCTTGCAGCCGGGAGTCTGAGATCAGGGTCTCTGTTTCTGTCGTCTGTCTCCAGATCTCCCCTTTTTATAAAGACACAGTCATAGTGATTAGGACTCACCCTAATGGCCTCATCTTAACTCAGTTCCCTTGCTAGAGATCCCATTTCCAAGTAGGGTACCATTCAGTGGTTCTGGGGTCAGGAGGTTCAGGGGGCACAGTTCAGCCCAAACAGCATCCAAGACAAGTTGGCTTGGTCTCTCTGGGTCACACAGCTTATTGTCACATCTGAGATAATGGTCAGCATGTTCTTGGAGGTTTTGTTAACTGTTTCCCCTCCTCGGTGAGGCAGAGTAGGGGCTGCCAGCTGAGCCTCTACCGCCCTGAGGCTTCAGCAAAGTTGGGCTCTGTCTCTCTGTTCTGCCCACCCCAGCTTTGGGCTTGTTCAATCCCACTTGCTTATTTTGAGAAACAGTTCTCCCCTCACCCCCACCCCACCGCTGCCCTAGGGACTGAAAACTTATCTTTATCCATCACTGTAACAAGGCAGAGCTGTAAATGTTTGGACGGCCGGGGTGTGGCAGAGAGCAAACCTCCGTCTCTGGTGGAGGGCTTCAGCCAGCTGTCACGGTCTCTGTGGTGCTCTTCATTTTAAGTTCCTGAATGGGCAGCGCCCCTCCTTTCCTCGTCTCCTGGTTTCCTGGGTGCGCCCCCAACCCAGGGCACCTCCCTGCAGATTTCTCCTCTGGAGCAAGTTACTCAGTTACTTATGTTCTATTAGGAGCTTCTGAAGCACATGTTTAAAATCAGGATAGTTGAAAGTGAAAATGCAACTTAGTTATTTTGTGATGGTTTTTTTTCTCCATAGATGAAAATTGACAAGATGTTCATTAAGAATCTGAAACATGAAATCTTAGCAGTAAGGTAGCATGTTGCCTGTCTCAGGGCTGCTGAAGAAGGGCCTGGAAAGGAGCCGGAGGGCAGATTCCCCAAGCTGCACGGTGAGGGACCCCACCCAGGCCGGGGTCCAGAAGCCCTAGGAGAGGGTTGGGCAGTCCCAGTGCATGAGCTGCCCTGGGACAGCATGCTGTCCCCGACGCTGGTTTGTCCTCACATTGTGGCAGCAGCCCCACTCCTTGGCACTGATAGTAAACTGGCCAAGTCCATCCACAGGCCAGCTCTTACCTGTGCCCAGAGACCCCGTCCCTTCCAACCCCAGGGGCGGTGAGTGCCAGTGGGGGCAGGATTGGAGACGTAGCTCCAAGGGTCTGTAGGCGAGGCTAGTGTTCCCAGCCTTTCCCCACAACCTACCCCAACCCCCTACTCTCTGCCCCCAGGCTTCTGCCCAGTTTGAAAGGCTGAAGGGTACGCCGAAGTGACACCGTGCTCTCATGGGTAGACAGCTGTCTGGAGACCCTGTCCCTGCACATGGGCACGAAGCTGCTCTGGCCAGAGCACAGTATTGGCCACTCTGTCTCTGGAACCTCCCATTTCCTCTGTGTCAGCTGCAGGTCCCTATGTCCCCAGTGTCACTCTTCCCCAGCCCTGGCAGTGGCTCCTGTTTTCAGGTCTTGGCCATTGGGTGAGAGCGGGGAGCACCAGGAGCCTCTCTGTCCAGAGTTTTCTTTGGTAAACTGAGGTTCAATTCCTGCTTAGCCCAAGTTACGCCCTCCTTCCTGGGTGGTCTGTTCCCCCTGTTTGCCAGGCCACACTTGATGGAAGACATGGAGCAAAACAGCTTTCCTGCTGGTGGCCCCAACATTGCTCAGAGTGGACGTGCCCATCGCAGCCCACGTGATGACCCATGCCGGCTACAGAGACCGCGGAAGCGCTGTCCCTGGTGTGCCCAGAGCCCAGGACTTGCTCTCGTTCCACCTGAGAGGCCCGACCCAGGGCAGCCAGGCCTGTCGCCCTGCCAGCCCCAGAGCACAACCCTCATGAGAGCTGTGTGGTTGGGCACAGGGTCATCGTCCTGAAACTGTGGGGTACCTGCTTCCTTGCTAACATGCAAGCTTTCAAGGTTAGCACTTTGATGAGACCCCAAGCCACTACAAGTTCCTTTGGCCTCGTGTCTCATGTTGGTGGAAGTTGCTGTTCTCCAGCCTTTACTCAAAATACACAGATGGGAAAGCTTCGTGACACTGGGATTGGTGGTGATTTCTTGCACGTGATGCCCAAAGACAGGCAGCAAAAGAGGAAAAGACCAGTTATACATCATCAGAGTTAAAAACTTGAGCATCAGAGAACGCTGTCAGCAGAGTGAAAAGGCAGCCCATGGAATGGGGGAGACACTCGCAAACCCTGTGGCTGGTGAGGAATCAGTGTCCACAACTTACAAAGAACTCCTGCAACTCAGCATCATCAAAACCCAATTGAAAATGGACCAGGGACTTGAATAGACATTTCTCCAAAGGAGATAGGCAGACAGCCATAGCACATGAGAAGATGCTCAACACCACTGGTCATCAGGGAAATGCAGCTCACATATGTTCCCGAACTCAAGGGGTTCACCGCTTAAGGTGCTCTGTTCAAAGAAGGAGAGGTGGTTGTCACAAAGTAGTTTTATTTACTTGACAGCAAGTCAAGGAGACAGGATTTATATCAAAGCTCTGCCTCCCCTATCAGAGGCCTGGTTGCTTACATACACTGCTGGTCAGTTGCGTGCTGGGTTCTTTGCGCCTGGCTCCTTTCCTGCTCTGAGCTCCCTTCAGCTTGTTCTGTTTCCTGCTGCAGCTACAAACTACTGTGGCGTATTTTAACATTTAGCAAGAAATAATATTTGGAACTGCCCAGACCTTGAGATCTTTGTCGTATCTAACAGTATCCGCAATGAAACATGACTTTCACACTCATTGAAAAAAAAAAAAACAAAAAAACCCCACCAGCAAATAATGTGTTGGTGAGGATGTAGAGAAATTACAGCTTTAATGCATTAGAAAACAGTAGGGTGGTTCCTTAAAATATTAAAAACAGAACTACCATATGACAGAGTGATTTCACCTCTGGATATGAGGTCCAGAGGTATCCAGCCATGTAATATGGAAAATAGAGACATTTATTGAAGATATAAGAAACATTGTGCATAGGACAATGATACCTCGGTCCCCTTCAAAGTAGGCACCTTGGGACCTCACACAGTTCTCCCAATCCCCATTAGCTGCCCCACTGTATTTTCCCAAATCTCATTGAAATCTCTTCCCTTTCAAAGGTGATTTTAGTTTTGGGAAAATGCAGAAGTTGTAGGGTGCCAAATCTGGGCTGTAGAGGGGCTGAATCACTTGGGTGATTTGAGGTTTCACCGAAATACTCTGCAGGACATGTGATGTATAAGTAGTCTCATTGTCGTGCTCAAGCTGGCAGTCAACAGTCGCCCACAGCTGTGGTCTTCTGAATCATCCAAATAGTTTCTGTGGAGGAATGTTCAAGCTTTAATGCAAAATTCGATGCAGATTCATTGCTCTACTTGTTCAGTCATTTTGAATCGAATGGCCACACAGTGCACATGCTCACTCAACCAGCATCTACCACCCCTGCTGACTAGTACGGTGAAGTCATTGTTCACGCACACGCATTTTAGTCCACTCTTCTTGGCTGCCAGGTTACATCGATGTTTTGCCAACCATTCTCATTATATTAAGAATGGCTGGACTTTTTCCGGACAGACCTCATATACTCAAAGGAATTAAAAGCAGGGTCTCAAAGAGATACTTGTTTCACCCCTGTTTACAGCAGCATTATTTAGAATTGCCAAAAGGTAGAAGCAGCCTCAGTGCTGGACAGATGAAGGGATACGCAAAATGTGGTGCACACCTACTGCAGAATATTACTCAGACTCAAAAAGTAAGGGAATTCTGACATCTGCTACTACACAGGTGAGCTCTGAAGACCATTAGCTGGTGCTGCCATTAACAAAATACCACAGACTGGCTGGCTAAAATAACCGAAATGTATTTTCTCACAGTTCTGGAGGCTGCAAGTCCAAGGTCAAAAGGGTGGGCAGGTTGGCCTCTCCAAGGCCTGCCTCTGTGCCCTGTAGGTGGCCGGCGTCTCGCTGTGTGCTCAGATTCTTTCCTCTGCGCATGCGCCTCCCTGGCGTCTCGTGCTCTTCTTAAAAGGACACCAGTCCTGTGGGATGAGGACCCGTTCTTCTGACTTCATTTCCCCTTCATCACCTTCTCTGAGGCCCGTCTCCACACATGGTCACACGGGGCGTCAGGGCTTCAGCGTGTGTCTCTTGGAGGAACACAGACAGTCAGCCTATAACAGAGATACCATGCCCGGTGAAAGAAGCAAGCCATGAAGGACCACATATTGTATGATTTCATTCATAGCGGAGTCGGATTCATAGATAGAAAGTAGGATGGTGATGCCGGGGTCTGGGGGAGGTGAGGGTGGGGAGTAAGTGTCTGATGGGGACAGTTTCAGTTTGGGAAGACAGACAAGTTACAGAGATGGATGGTGGTGCTTTTGCTCGACAATGTGAATGTACTTAACACCATTGAATTGTGTACTTAAAATGATTAAAGCGGTAAATTTTATGTTCTGTATGTTTTACCATAAGAAAGAAGAGAAATTAAACCAGGCAGACAAAGCTACCGAGGTGGGCATGGCCCCCTACCTCGCTAGGTGTGTCAGGCTCCCCTGGTGATGGTGCCCCATGCCCGACCCATCCCGGTACATCTGTGACTACCATGACCTCAGCGAAAGGGCCCGCCAGGATGTTCTCAATTTTCAGGACAAAGCGTCACCCAGTGTCTTTGCGGGGGCACCTCCTTCTGCAGTGTGAATTGTGTGGGCGGGTAAAGTCACAGTGGGTGCCTCAGGCCGGTGGCTCCAGGTCAGGCTCAGTGCGTGGGGTTCAGTTTGGGGCACCTGCGTTACAGCAGTTCCTGGCTCCCCTGGGGATGGCACGCAGCCCAGTGGAGGGAGAGAGGAATGGGAAGCCTGTGGTCACACCACTGCCGTAGGGACAGGAAAGCCTGCTTGCGGGTGACCCCAGGAAGCAGCAGGAAAGAGACTCTCCAGGCTTCTGTAGTTCGAGTTTTTATTTTTAAATTTTAACTGCAAACACACAGTGGCGATCAGTTCCGCAATCTCTGCACACATGGACCCACAGTCTGTCATGGGGAGCTCTCCAGTCTCAGTAGGGGGCTGGGAGCCTGTGAACCCAGGGAGTGACGCCTCAGCACCGAGAAACATTTGCTTTGAGAAACTGTCCTGTGCTAGATTTCTGTCTGACAAAATGCACAGTAACACTCCTTAGTATGGAAAGCTTCCCTGAAGCTGACAAACTAGTAACCACACCCCCTGCCTTGTTGTAGCTGCTCCTTCCTCAGGTTAACTTCTGAATTTTTAAAAATATTTTTTAAAGACTTTATTTATTTTGAGAGAGGGGAAGGGAGGGAGAGAAGCAGAGAAGGAGAGAAACATTATTATGTGAGAGATTGGTTGTTTCTCGCACACCCCCAACCCAGGACCTGGCCTGCAACCCAGGCATGTACCCTGACTGGGAATTGAACTGGCGACCTTTCATTCACAGGCCAGTGTTCAGTCCACTGAGCCACACCAGCCATAGCTTCTCCTGTGTTATTTTGAAGCAAAACCCAGATATTCACACTATTTCACCTCAATATAGCTCTGACTCCAGGTTTCGTAGTGACTCCAGAGTCTGCCTTTCCGAGGCGGCTGTGGGCTGGCTCGCAGCCCCGCCCTGTGTCGTTTTCAGCGCGTACTTTTCTCGTGCACGGCACTCTGCGCACCCAAGATTGGGCCAGCTCCTTTTTCCCCCCAATGTGTTGCCTATCATATACAGAGCATGTGAATTGCCCTGATTTTTTACTTTTCTTGGGTAATGGGGTCATGGGACCATTTCATCTATGTTTTCAGAAGGGACTGGTGCTCTGTTTTGTCTGTCGGTGGGTGGTTTTCTAGTGCTGAATACCTGCTTTTGAAAACTGCTTTCTGCAGAGTAGTTCGTTCAGTGAGACACTTTCCAGATGCATTTGTTCCCAGCCCTGGGTGAGTGGCAGCTGGTGGGTCTGTTTGTCATGGTCATTGTAAATAACTAGACATTTAGGGGGACTGTCCACTTTATGTTTTGCTTTGGGGAGAGAGCCCGGCTGATGCTTCTGTCCGTGACTCTGTACTGAGGTCATGCTGCTGTCGTCCGTGCAGGTGCGCCTGCTCATCCCGTTTGTGTCTTTGCACAGAACCACCTGGCGGTGTTCACAGTGGTTCACCCGCTTGCTCCCAGCGTGAGCTCCAGCGTGGCCTCCAGCCTGGCATCCAGTGCTGGCTCCAGCAGCTCCTCCCCCACCGCTCTCCCCACTCTCTCGGCGCGTGCCCACCCACTGGACCCCACTGGCAGTGCCCTCGAGTCCATCCCAGGTAAGCCCAAGACTCTCGTTTCCCTGAGTTAGCACTTACATTGTAGCATTTGAAGAATAATCTATTCAGGGATGCTCTCAGAATGCAAGTTTTGGTGAAAAAGCCACATGTGTTTTGGTGGTCTGTGTGATACTTTGGCTGTATCGCATGTGGCCGTGGAAACACCTGCCTCAGCAGCAGCCTGGTACTGCAGAGCTGACGAGAAGCCCTCAGGTGGGGGCAGCGGCACAGGCCCCAGGGTGAGGCAGAGAATGGTAGGCTTTAGAGGAATTTAAATGGGAGTTGGGGGCAGTGAGGGCACCAGAAGGTAGGGGGTCATGACAAGGGTAAAGAGGGGGTGCAGATGTGTCCAGAAGGCAGTGGGCGTGGCTGTTAACTATTGAGGGTCCTTAGCTGCTAGGGGTCATGGAGGTTCTGTGGACTGATGACCAATGGGATTGGAGCCGGCCTGGGAAGTAACCTGTCTGGTGGCCTGTATGGGGGTGTGGGGCACAGGTGGGGACTGTCGTGGCAGTACAAGGAGCAGGATGGATACACAGTCCTGGGGGTGGTGGGCCATGTCTGCCCCCTTGGCACCCTCAGGCCACATCAGGGTGGTGGGGCGCCTGGCACCAGTGGAGGGCTGTCTGCATTGCCGAGCTGACCCTCACCCTCACCTCTGTCCTGGTATGGAGAACCTCTGGGAGGCCTCTGTGTTGTAGCAGACCCAAGTCCTCTGTCTCAGGGTTAGCCGGGGGGGCGGGGCGGGGGGGGGGGCGGTGCTGCCCAGTGAGAGGCTGGGCCTGGGCAGCACAGAATTGTACCGTTATGGGTTAGCACAAAAATTTTAACATAAAGCTTACTTTTTCCAATATGAAGGTAGTAATAGTAAAATTTGAGCATAAGAGAAAATTAATTAGGAAAATGAAATTCCTATTCAACTCTGCTCACCTGAGTGAAAAATAGAACTAGGTGCATCTATGCTTTGAAAGTGGCCTCTCGGGACAGGTGGTGGCTTACGATTGGAGTTAGCATATTTCTAGTAATTTTTCTAGCCATTGTCTCAATACCTAAGGGGCAGTCTCAGCCTAAGTATGTCACTGACCATCTTGCTGTGTGTTCTTTCACTGACTTAAACATTTCTTGAACCAACTACCAGAAGGTGAAGAGGTGAATTTTTTCAGGATCAACATTGCCTCCACTTACAGGTTCAGGGTAACACGTTTTTGTTCTCTCGTTATGGCAGTGAGCTTCTGCTGTCAGTGCCATCCTCACACTTTCTCTGCTCACCCTCCTGAGGTCACGTGTGAAGTTATATCCTACTACTGCCCCAGTTATGGGAAGCAGTGGAATGCTCAGAACTGCCCTCTGACCCCACGAGAGCCCTTTCTACTGCGGAGGACTGCCAGGACCGAGTGTCCACTGCACCGGCTCTGGCGCTGACGGGGTAGACTCTATTGTTTTCTCCTGTAGTACAGTTTCATTCAGGTTATGTCATTACTAATGCACTGAATTTTTAAAAATCCATCTTAAAATTATTCATTCATTTAAACTAAAAATAAGCGGGTGCCTTTTCCAACTCTTCTGCATTTAATGGATTTAATGGAGTCATTTCAGGGCCATTTGACAGATTTTATTTCCTTTATCTTTCATTTCATATGAACAGGCTTCAGATTAAAATAGTGACCATTAAAATAGTAACCGAAGGAGTTCATTGCCAGGCGAGACTGGCAGCAAAGGGCAGCAGGAACCTTGAGTCCCCCGCACCTTGGCTCCGCACGGGGTGAACGGTGCCTGACTGTGGCTTTCGTAATGGGGGCGGGACCAAGGGCGAGGCGCGTCTGAGGCTTGCGTCACTCGTGGGCGCGGCGGGCGCGGGGTGGGCGGGGCGAGGGCCGCGGGCCCTATTTGAATCCGCGGTGGCGGCGGCGACAGCGGACCGTGAGTCAGCATCCTCCGCCTCGCGCCTCCGGTTGCGGGTCCTCTAACGAGAAGCTGCGGAGCGGGTCTTACGCCCCCCCCCCCACCAGGTGTGGTGCGCTGATCTCCCTCCGCATGTGCGCCCCCTCCATGCACCAACACCCCAAGTGAGGTGCGTCTCCCCAGCCTCCCTCCTCCGTGCACTTTCCCCTTCCGCAGGTTTGCCTCCCCTCTTCTCCAGACGCCTCTTGTATTGGTCCTAGGTGCCTGCGCCAGGTGTGAAAGCAGGGGTTGGTAGCAGTTTTCCTGGGGGCTGCGGGGTGAGGTTAATGCAGATATGCCCTCTTGAGGAGGCTGCTCTGCAGAGGCGCCCTCCCCTCTGGTCCTTGCGTGGGCACCAGCTGCGAGACTTCGCCAGCGGATCCTTCATCATCTAGCGGAGGTGGGTCTCTTGCTCCCAGGAGAGGACGGTTTCCGGTCTCATCAGTGAATCGCCGGCTGTGCCTGCACTGTTGGAAACTCAGGCCCCGGGGTGAGCAGGTGTGCCAGGTGTTTCTCTGTGTTGTAGTCGGGGGAGAACTGCCCGGACCGGTTGGGTGTGGGGAGCTGCCCCCCCCCCCGCGCGCGCCTCTGGGTCCCCCAGTCTGGCCTTTATTTCTGTGTGCTGTGTTTATTGTCTCCGTGTGTCCCCTGACCCTGGGACTCGGTGCCTCTCCGATGTGCTGTGTCACGTCAGGAACTGGGCTTCGCCAGGGCCATTACTCAGCAGCTTCCAGACGATTTCTCCTTAACGTTTGGGTGGTGCCTGGGATTTTGGCGAGGCCGGTTCTAGGTCAGATGGCACAGTTTATGTACATGGGTTCTTCTGGCTTTTGACTGCTAAAGCCATTTTAAAAGTGAGTTCCTCCTTTAAGAAAATATCTTAAGAGATCTGAGTCTGACCTCAGGGAACAGTAAGGTGTGTTAGGATGCTAGCCCTGCTCGTGAGAAAGTGGGCCAGGACACATCCCCGCAGCGGCGGCCTCTGCCTTGTAAGCTGAATGCAGGCTGTGGTTGGTCAGGTGCCACTTCTGCACCTCAGAGAGAAGTAGGCAGGGTGCACCTGTGTGCTGAGTCATGGGGTGGGGTTAGGAAGCACGGGGAGAGAAATCACTTACAGGTGAGAAAAGCTTCTGCAGTCCAGTTTGCTCTCATCCATCCATTCCTTTGTGCCTTTGTTATTCAAAAAAGTGCTTCCGGAACTCTGCAAGCTTTGAAGCTGGCCATCTCTGACATCCCAGGGCTGCAGGTGCTGAGGGTGGAACCCACATTTTCAGACCCAACTGAGCAGCATGTCCAGGACAGTGGCTTGGGACCCGAGACTGAGCAGACATGCTGGGCCAGCTTACGAAGGGTGGGTTTGGGCCTCCGTTCTTTTGGAGGAAGCAGGGCAGAGTGAAGAAGTGGACGGTGAGGTGCTTGCTCTTAGAAGGTGGATGAGTCTGCACGTCAGTCAACCCTGGCTCAGTGCACCTGCACAGTCCAGGCTAAGGTGCAGGAATGGAGTAAGGGGAGACTTTGAGAAGGTTTTGAAGGCTGAACAGGAGTTCTCCCAGGACTAGTGGGGCTGATGGAAACCGTGCTAGGCTGCAGCCTATAGCAGTGTCATGACTTGTGGACAAAGGAGAGGAGGAGCCATTTTGGGGTGGGAAGGCTGCTTGGGGCAGGGGCAGGATGGGGCAGGGTAGAGCAGACGGTGAGTGTCCTGTCTGCCAGGGGAGGCAGGACTCACGACACAGTTGGCTGATGCCAAGATCACTCTTGGGACAGCGTAGGTCGGGGTGAAGCAGCAGCTGCAGAGATGGCTGGAGCTTGGGGCCTGGCTGGTGTGCATTTAAGAGGAGGAGGAGGAGCTAAGGGCTCCCATGGGGCTTGTGCTCAGTGAGTGGTCCCAGGTTCACCAGCCTGAGGGAGGCATCTGTGCCCAGATAGAGAAGGCACCGATAGAGCAGAGGAGCCTCTGTCTGGTCAGAGGACGTGATGCAGCTATACCGAGAGGCGTCTGGGGTGTCTGTGGGTGAGCGCCCCAGAAACCATGTATGTCTGGGCATGGAAGGGCTGCTGAGCTCCCAAGGAGGGTGGAAGGGCCCAGAGATTGATCCAGAGGAAGGGGAGAGGGACCGACAGCAGGCAGGGGCTGCCTTTGACCAGAGGGATTTTGGAGCTTGGCACTGGGCTGGATGGCAAGGCCCAGGTGGCAGCTTGAACAGTACACTGGAAACGGGATGGCGAGAAGAAGGGGTGGGCCACTGGGGACAGGCTCTCATGTGGGGCTGCAGAGCCTGCAGGGCTGTGTTTGTGTCCTGGAAGAGCCTCTTTGTGGAATTCACAGCAACAGGACACAGGTCTGATGGTGGAGGGGTCCCAAGAGGTCTGGGCCCTGGGTCTATGGGAGGTGCTAATTCAAGCACCAGAGCACAGCCTCCTGGAGGGGATGGATCAGATGGGAGGGTGTCACCAGGTTGATCCCCATTATTGTGAGCCACTGTGTTCCCCCAAAACATGATTCCCTCAGGCCTGCCCCCTTGCCACCAACCTGGGAATGTGGCCTTATTTGGAAATGGTCATTGCAGATATAATCAAAGTGAACTGAGGTCATTAGCATGAACCCTAATCCAAGGTGACTGCTGTCCTAGGAAGGAGGAGACAGACACAGAAAAGAGACAGCCACGTAGTGATGCATCCACCAGCCAAGGAGGGCCAAGGGTTTCTGACTAAGCCGGAGCTGGAAGAGGCAGAACGGAGCCTCCAGAAGGAATGCAGCCCTATGCACCTTGATCTCAGCTTCTGGCTCCAGAGCTGGGAGAATGGATTTGTGGTGTTTGAAGCTGTCTGGTGTGTGGCGCTTGGTTTCAGCAGCCCCTGCACACAAAGACCCCTGTGCTCCTGGGTGTTAGGAAGAAGCTGCCTGTGGGGGGAGAGATACTGGCAGCAGAGAAGGGCTTGAGCAGCAGCGCTGACAAGGAAAGGGAGCATGCAGAGGGGGAGTGCGGGCCGGAGGTCTGGACTGCCCATGTGTCTCCGCTGCCAGGTCTCCCTGAGGGCCTTTCTGTACAGACTATGGCGGCAGGCCATGTTCACACTGCCTTGTCCTTGGCTGTGGCGTTGGGTGCGTCTGTGCCGTGTGTGTCACATTCGGGAGGCCACAGTGAGTGGTGTTGTCTTTCCACGGCCTCCTCAGGGACTAGAGAGCTTGTGGCACCGCCAGCCTGGGGCCTGCGACTGCTCCCTGCACAGTTGTCCTTGCAGAGTTAGGCGTCTGCAGGGCCAGTGTCACAGGCTTAGCACCTGCTCGCCTCCCAGGGTGGGATCTGGGGACTCCTGGTTGAAGTGGGAGCGATGGAGCCCCCTGAATGCTCACTGCCTTTCCAGATAAGACCGCCAGAGTTGTGTGAATAATTTCTCCTTGGGAGTGGGCAGGGTCCTGGTGCCTCCCCACTGCGCCTGGTGACAGACAGCAGTGTGGGAAGGACAGCGTTCTCCAGGCGAGTTGGCAGCTTGGCCTCAGTGCTCTAGGTGTGGGAGGGAGTGGAGGCCCTCAGAGTGTCCCCTCAGCACCCTCTCTGGCCGGTGGAGTATGGTCCTTCCTCTGTGCTTTGGGCTCTGGTTCCCAAGTGTGGCCAGGTCAGGGTCGCCTCTGCAAGCAGCAGTGATGAAACAAGGAGACAGATGCAGGCCCTGTGCCTTGCCCGGCCGTTCTGCTCCCTCGAGTCCCAGACACACGGTCCCCTGCTTCTTGCCTTCCGGTGTGTGCATGGGGCCTCACACCACGAAGGCTGGAGCCAGTGGCTTTCGGGTGTGCACTCCGGAACACCTCTTGTTGGCAAGGAGCCTTCCTTGCCCTCAACGCGCGTGGTCCCCACAGGGACTGAGCAGGGCAGGAGCAGTGCCGCCTGGGACGCCAGTCTGGGCGAGACCTGTGTGCCACAGCTGGCTCCCCACGGATTTGTGTGTGCTGGGGACTGACATTCTTTGGAAGTCACACATCTGTTATCCCCTATTTCCTGCTGATTACAGTAAATGTGTCTCATTTAAAAAGGCAGCAGCCTTTCCCCAGTGCAGGTGGGTTCTTCTGTTGCTTGAGCCACACTTCCATCCTCTTCCTTGGCTTAGCCTTTGCTCAGCTCTTATATTTGAATGCAGTTGTTTAAAACAAACCCAACCCAGCAGCTCCTTCCTGCAGCCTGGGTCGCAACTGCACTGGCATGACCCTGTGCAGGGGACGTGGTTGTCCCTCTGATTCGGCCTGGAATCTGGGCAAAGCCAAGTGTGGGACGTGGTCAGGACTGGGCAGGGGCTCCTGTCTCTGGGCAGCTTTGACCTGGTTGTAGGACATGCTCTAGGGGACTCTGTGACACTCAGCAACAAGCAGCTAGGGGCAGGGCAGAGGCGGGAACCTCCAGAAGCCCAGCTCATTCACCCAGAGCAGCAAGTCTGACCAGGGTCCCCATGGAACATCCCCTGGGCTGTGGAGGTATCTGCCCTGGTGGCTGGGGCAGGGTGGTTTTGTGGCCTCTTGAAATGAGACCTGGCGCATTTGGCCAGGCATCACAGGAGGCTGAGGGGGCCCTCGCCACCAGAGGGTCAGGACTCAGCCACACAGGAGAGGTCCACCTGCTTCTGAGGGGGTGCTGTGGGGGGAGGGAGTGGGTCCCCACAGTTGGGGCTGGGGGAGAACGGGGCTTAGCGTCAGAACTCCTGTGTGCTGTATCTTCAGTGTCACTAAGCTCGCCTATGGACCCGGCCTACCTTTGGGTGGGGAAAGCAGCTCTGGCTCACGGGGTGGGTTCCAGGAGCGCCTACTGCCCCTCCCCCCAGCCATCTCCCAAGGGTCCTTTGCCCATACCTTCCCTGAGATGACCCTGCATGACCTCAGGAACTCTTGAGATGTGCATTGGATTTGGGGGCATGCCGACACCTGACCTCAGCCACCCCAAGACAGCTTTCTGCTCTGTGCCAGAGTCGGGGGCCCTCCTGCAGAAGAGTGTTTATGAGGAAAGCTTTGGGAAATGGGGGCCAGCTCCAAGGGGCCCATCATTCCATTCCTGTTTTGTTAACAGACGAGCCTGGGGTGCATTGGCGGCCTTGGTGGAACAGAAGGGAGATAGGAGGGACCCTGCTCAGTGCTAGGTTGCGGAGACAGGATGGGGATCTCCCCGCTGTGACCTGTGGTGTAGAGGCCAGTGGTCCCTGTGCCAGTTCCAGTGCGGCCTCACACCATTGTCTGTGAACTGTTTTCCCATGGACAAGGCCCTCCCGGAATTTTTTTTGCTAGTTACATTTCCGTGGTCAAACGTCACCCAGTGATCAGAAATCTAAGGCAGAAAGCATACATCCGGGAGGTGAGGCCATGATTCAGGCACGGTGTGTGATTCAGGGACGCCCGGAGGCTCTGGTTCTGGGCGGGAGAGTGAATCCACGGGGGGCATGGGTGGGGGCGCTCTCGGCCCCCAGCCCAGGCATGCTCCCTGCTGCAGCATCTGTGTCTCTGAGCAGTAACTCAGTGTCTCGTTGGACAGGCACTGCCGTAGATCTGCATCTTAGTGATTTAAGCCTTGCCCCCCTGGATAAGGAGCTGGACGAGCAGGACGGAAGTGACCTGCGACCCACCGGTAAGAATGATGATGCCTGGCGCTCTTGTCAGGTGGCCCTGGGCCAGCCAGGCCTTTCCTTTCAAGAACCATACTGAAGTGGCTCTAGGGTGGGAGAGGCCCCCTCCTCCAGCCCTGCAGCCCTCGCAGGGTCAGCCTCTCACCTCTTCAGTGTACCCCCATCTGAGTGAGGCAGTGCTGCACAGACGGGGCGCGGGGTGTGCAGGATTGGGGGCGGGGACGGCCAGCCTTCTCGGCCTTCTAAGGTACTTTAATCACTGCATTGGCATGAAGGTGGATGTATTAACATACAAGGTCTGTCCAGGAGGTGTCCAGCCATGTAACATGGGAAGTAGAGACATTTATTGAAGAACATACAGGATACAAGAAACATTGTATGTGGGACAATGACACCTCAGTTGCCTTCAAAGTAGGCACCTTGGGACCTCACACAATTCTCCAAATCACCATCAGCTGCCCCATCATACTTTCCTGAATCTCATCAATGGTCTGAAAAATCTTCCCTTTCACAGGTGATTTTAGTTTAGAGGAAAAACCGAAGTCACAGGGCATCAAATACGGGCTGTAAGGGGCTGGGTCACCTGGGTGATTTGATGTTTCACCAAAAAACTGCAACAGCCATGATGCATGAATGGGCACATCATTGTAATGAAGCTGCCAATCACCAGTTGCCCATAGCTGCAGCCTTCTGAATCATCTGAATAATTTCTGTGGAGGAATGTTTAAGTTCAATGCAAAATTTGATGCAGATTTGTTGCTCTACTCACAGTCACTTTGAATTGGACGGCCACACAGTGCACATGCTCACTCAATGGCATCTACATCCCCTCTGAGTAGTACAGTGAAGTCGTCACTGTTCACGCATGTGCATTCCAGTCCACTCTCCATGGCTGCCAGGTTACATCGATGTAGTGCAAACCGTTCTTGTTATATTAACAATGGCTGGAATTTTTTCTGGACAGACCTCGTATACTGAATCATTTCCTTTGACCTAAAAAGTCATCTTTTTCTTCTGATATTAATACAAATTCATCTACTACTGGGAGACCCTAAAAGTATTGAGACTGCCATGCCAATGGCTAGGCAGGCTGGCAGGGCCTAGCGGGTGTCTGGCCTTTGTGGGAACCCTGCTGAGCCCCAAGTCCTGTGCACTTGCCTCTCGTCTGAGCAGTTGAGGGCTGTGGCCACATCTCAGCCTGGGGGCAGCTCTGTCTCTGCACCTGCACGTGGTTGCTGCAGGCCTGGGACTCCCTGCCCGCCGCCCCCCCGCCCCCCCCCCGTCTGCACCTGCCCCGGCTGATCTGATGCACGACCCCTCAGAAGCGTGGCCTGCTGTCTCCTGGGCAGAGGGCTGCTGCTGCCTGTCACTAACTGGGCCCCTCCACTCTGCACAGGTCAGAGGTCGCTGGGGGGCTCAGAGCCTGTCACCATTCCAGGCTGCCTGGCGCGCTCCCCGTCCCTGCACTCCTCGTCTTCCCTGTCCACCTCCCCGCTCAGCTCGCTCTCCCAGCCTCTGTCCGGGCCTCTTGTCTCCTCGGCTATGACGCCCCCCCAGCAGCCACCGTCCCTCAAGTCGGAGCCCAGGGTGCTGGGCTCCTCAGCCTCGACCTACAACTCCCTAGGTGAGCTGGGGTTCACGGGGGAGGGGCCGCCCTACAGTGACAGTTTATTGTTGGATGAACCGAGGCATAAGTGGCTGCCCCCACGTCGTTGCCCTCCCATTGAGGGATCCGCCACACTGCCCTGTACACTCTCTGTGGTGTGGGCCTCGGCGTTTCTCCCAGGTGACCCCTTGCCCGTGCCTCTGCGGTTCCACAGCAGTGCCCTGGGGCTCGAACAGGGTGTGCTCGTCGGCCTGTGCCGGGCCTCGGAGTGCGGAACATGGCCGTGACCACACCGAGGTGTGGCCCGCCTGGCTCACACACGGGCAGCGCAGTTTCCGTGGCAGCGGAGGTGCGATGCCGCCAGAGACCCGACACAGGAGCAGGCGGGTTTGGAAAAACAGAAAACAGTGCTGATTCTTGTTTTACATGATTTCTTCACTGGAAAAGTTATTTTATGTAACCTATTGTATTTTAAAAGAGTAAATATATCTTTAAAATACCTGTTCAATTCCTAAATGGTCATGCACCACATGCCAATTTCTCAGTCAACAAGGGACCTCATCTTATGAGGGGGTTCTGTGTGATTGCAATGGAGCTGAATTTTCTGTGGGAGATGGAGGGTGTGTGGTTCAGGAGGGATTTTTTCCTCCTGTGCTGAAACAAGTCAGTGACTTGCCCTGACTGGGGATCGAACTGGCGACCTTTGGGTTCGCAGCCTGGCACTCAGTCCGCTGAGCCACACGGGCCAGGGCTCAACACTCTTTTAAATGGACACCACAGAGTTCCTTCGACCTGCCACTGCTCCAAAGCCACAGCACCCTGACAGAGCCCAGTGCTGCTTCACCTCCCCATCTCCACCTTCATCCCCCAACCCCCTCAGGCTGCCTGTCCCTCTCCTCTGCGTCACTGTTGTGGTGAGGCCCACCCCACCCAACCAGTTTCTTCCTGAAGTTTCCAGTCAGTCCCGCCCAGTCGCTGTTCCCGCAGCAGCCCTGCAGCTTCTGTGCTTGTTTCTGACCTCCAGCAGGTAGTGGGGCAGGGTGTGCGGGGCGCTGTTCACAAGTCTGCGGCAGTGCATAGCAGTAGCCTAGGCCTCCACAGTCACTCACTGCCCACCCACAGCCACTTCCAGTCCTGCAGCCACTGTTCATGGTGAGGGCCATGTACAGGTGTATCATTTTTTATCTTATTAGTTTTTTAGATTTAGTTTCTTATTTTTAAAGAGGGGAAGGGAGTGAGAGAAACATCAATGTGTGGTGGCCTCTCACATACCCCCTACTGGGGACCTGGCCCTTAACCCAGGCATATGCCCTGACTGGGAATCGAACCGGTGACCCTTTGGTTCGCAGGCCAGTACTCAATCCACTGAGCCACACCAGCCAGAGCTCATCTTTTACCTTTTATACTGTATTTTTACTGTACCTTTTCTTTGTTTAGATATACAAAACCTAACCATTGTGTTACAGTCACCTACAGTACTTGGTACAGTAACACGCCACACAGGCTTGTATCCTTAAAGCAGAAGGTTTTAGCATAGAGCAGGGGTGTCAGACTCATTGTCACCGGGGGCTACATCAGCCTTGCAGTCGCCTTCAAAGGGCCGAATGTAACTTTAGGACTATATAAATGTAACTACTCCTTAACTAGGGACAGGGAGCTCGGCACTGCCACCAGGTAGAAACAAGGTTCTGGGCCAGACAAAACAAGGTGGAGGGTGGATTTGACCTGCAGGCCTTGTGTTTGCCACCTGTACCTTAGAGCCTAGGGGTGTGGTGGGCTGTACCATTTAGGTTTGTTTAAGTGCAGTCTGCAGTGCTCAGTGTTGAAACTGCCTAATGATGCATTTCTCAAAATACCTCCTGTTGTGACATGTGGCTCTGTGAACAAGGGTCACTTTTCCCTATAATGGGAGCTCTTCAAGCAAAAGCTCTTTGGGGGCCTCAAAACCCTACATGTGTGAAGGATTTTTGGGAGCAGAGTGTGCGAAGTGCTGCTCCACACGAGGCAGCCACAGAAACGTTGAATTTCTTTTCTGTTTAAACCCCGCAGGGGGCCGGAAGGGGGCCTGGGTGGAAGATCAGGGGCAGCAGCCTTGTCAGTGGAGCCCCCGAGGTCCCAGAGCCTGCCTGAGAGCCGTCTGTGATGTCTCAGCACGCCTGGGGCTGACACCTGTCTCCTCCGCACTCAGGTTTGAATGGTGTCCCTGGGAGCATCTGGGACTTTGTTTCCGGCAGTTTCTCTCCCAGCCCATCCCCCATTCTGAACGCTGGCTCCGCATCCTCTGCGAGTGCAAGTCCCAGCTGTGCTGAGCTAGCTCGGGTCAGGCGGCAGCTAGAGGAAGCCAAGAGGAAGATCAGGCAGTGGGAGGAGTCCTGGCAGCAAGTGAAGCAGGTGAGTTCTGGGGAGGGGCCAGGACTCAGGGAGACTCTTGCGCATGCAGGGCGCCCCCTCCCCCCACGCCAGCCTCTGCAGCCTCCTGGGTTTCAGGCCTGTGACGCATGGCAGCGGGAGGCCAAGGAGGCGAAGGAGCGTGCGCTGGCGGCCGACAGTGCCCGGCAGCTGGCACTGCAGAAGAAGGAAGAGGTGGAGGCCCAGTTCAGGCAGCTGCAGGAGGAGCTGGAAGGCCGGGGCATGTCCACACTGCCTGGGCTGCGGGGCTGCAGCGACATCGGTGCCATCCCGCTGCCCAAGCTGCATTCACTGCAGAGTCAGCTGCGCCTGGATTTGGAGGCAGTGGACGGGGTGAGTCCTGGGTTTGTTTCCAAGGTGCTTGACGTCTGTCCCTGGCAGGGTGTGTGTGCGTGTCAGGGGGATGACTGGGGCCTGGCCTGGCTCTGCCGCTTCCCGTGTGGGCCCCTCTCATCCGACTCCTCTGGTGGCAGCTCATGCTCTGCTCCAGGGAGTGTGTGTACCACCTCTCCTGCCAGGCTGGCCCTGCCCTTCCTTTCTGGAATTTTCCACGTTTATCCCCTCCTGTGCTCTCATGGATAGAATGGACACCCCTCTTGCCCCACACAGTTGGAACCATGGTGTATGTCTGAGGTATGTCACCGAGGTCACCCTCCATGGTCACTGGTCACCTCCTTGCCTGATTTCATTCTTTGTTTTTTTCTGGAGTAGCACAAAACCCACTGTTTTCAGCTCAGCTAGAAGCTCCTTCCACACCGGGACATTTTGTTAGAACTTAGAGCATCTGGAAGGTTCCACAACCCTGCCTCTCAGCACTTCCCCCCACTCCATTAACTGGCCACGGTCTGGCTGCAAAGTGCACACCTGCTTCACCTGAGGTGCCGTCTCGGGGCTGTGGCTGTCTCCCTGGCTAAAGGGCTGGGTCTCAGACCAGGGCCCCATTAAGCCCAAATCTTGGCACTTGCCAGCCACTAGCTGTCAGCCGCAGGTCACAGGCCTGCATTGTGGCCTGCCCCCCACCCTCCCAACAGGCTTGGCCTCCCAGGAGCCAGTCCTTTGCTTGAGGGGCTCATGAAAAGGCAGGGCCAACCCCATATTTGTGTTCCTGCAGTGACCCCTGGCACAGGTGTCCCACCCCAGCCCTGAGTCTTCCGGTGCTAGCCAGGGGCCATTACCCCTGTGTACCCCTTGAGTCACTTTGGGGTAAGCTGGGGGCCATTGGTAGGGTGGGGCCTTCAGTGACCCCAACTTCTCTTGCCCTCAGGTAATCTTCCAGCTCCGAGCGAAGCAGTGTGTGGTGTGCAGGGAGCAGTCCCGGGGCGCCGTCCTGCAGCCCTGCCAGCACCGTGTGCTCTGCGAATCCTGTGTGGCCAATGCACCCGAGTGCCCCTACTGCGAGGGCCAGCCCCTCCAGTGGTGACGGCAGCCATGGTGGCCTCACTTCCTGGTGCCACCGACGTCGAGACCCCGGCCCTGAGCTGCACCCATGGTTCCATGGTATTCTCGCAGACCTTGAAGGCAGACACACAGCACCCACCTGCCCACTGCCCAGGGTCCGGACGGGCACAGTGATTACACGGGGTGTGCAGTCCTGACACTACTGTGACCACGTCCTGGGAACTCGCATCCCGGCCGAGCACTTTTGTAAATTGAGGAATTTAAATGGATGGGCTAAGTTGCTATAAGCTGCTTTCTAGGTTCATGTTTTTTTTTAATACGCGATATGAAGCTTTGTATGTGTACTGTGAACTTAAAATATTTCTTATCGGTTTATTGTTAATTCATAGTATGGTAAATATTATTAGATTTCATATTCAGAAATTAGTACTTATGAAATGAGCATTATCTAGTAGTGAGAAATGCCTAGGATTTTTATAGGTTTTAAATGAAGTGGAAACAAATATTTATAGCAGAATGATTATTGAAAGACATACATTTAGATGTTTTTAATTTTATGAAAGGAACTATTCCTAAACGCGTGCACACGCACACTTATTGGAATTTTATTTCCCCACACCGAGAAATGAGGGAGCTCAATCACGTGTCTGTGACCCGGGGCCACTTTCTCCAAGTGCCTGAACCTTTCGAAAGAAGTGAAGGGAATGGTTCATTTGGTTTTATTTTCTCCCTTGAAACTTTGTAAGACAATTTGATACTAGTTAAAAACAGGCAGCCAAGGGAGTGTGTTCATTTTAGAGAGCTGGTTTTGAGTCTCACGGCAGCAGCGCCCCGTCTTCCTGGAGCTGGTTGCCGGGCACCACAGCTGGCCCACAGGCCCCACCCAATAACCTCAGGGCCACATGGACTCCTGCCAGCAGGACAGGTTCACCCATCTTTGGCATGTTTGACTTAAGGGCGACACTTCGGACATTGTCATCCAATCTGTGTGTCCAGGTATTATCGGTCATTTGTGAGGACCGGGCTGCTGTGCTAGGGCAGGGGGCTGCCCTGAGGACCTGGCTCTGCTGCAGGCCCCTTGGCCCCCAAGTAGCAGCCTGGCTTCAGGGCCACAGCAGAAGTGCTCCTGGGAACGGGTCTGATTTTAGTGATGACTCAAATCTTCTTTGGTCTGTAATGGGTCTTTTTTTCTAGACCTCTGGCAAGTATGTCTGTCGTTTACCCCAGCTGTGCTCTCAGCGAAGCAGATCTAGGCTTCCGGGAGAGAACCTTTGCAGAACCTGCCGCTGGAAGGGAGGGGTGGGAGCAGGTGCTGGCCCCTCTGGCCGGAAAGTGAACACCCGTGTTTCTACTTGCTTGGGGCTTTGCCAAAGACTTTTAATAGCATTTTTAAAGTGCAAAGTGACTAGGCAAAATTTTTTATCAGTGACTAAATTAGAATGTATTTACTGTAGTAAGAAATTTAAAACATTTTTTAACATAAGACAAACTGATAGAGTCATTTTAAGGTGGCCCCATGACATTCCGCAGCTGGTGTGCTACTACTCAAGGTTAACTATTGACTTGGTTTTAGTGAGTATGTTTTTAATTATAGTGATGATTTACTAGCTCTTAGAAGTTACATATATTTTGTGCTATTGTTATCACTGTTTAAAATTATTTTTATTAGTATTTATGCACTTGTTTCCCATTCCAGGCCTTTGGCCTTTTTTGGGATAACAAGAAAGTGTTTATTACTGATATTTAGCCTAGACATTTTCAGATTATAAACGATTAAGAACAATTAAGCTTTAGGTCTATTTATAAGCTACTCTGGTCAGTTCTGTGGAGTCTGGGGGCTGGTGTGTCGTGCTCACAGGGGTCCCACGGCGGGGCGCTCACCCTTCTCAGGGCGGGCCTGGCTCTGAGAACACCTGTGGTGGGAAGACCAAAGAACCCAAAGAACCACCCAGAATGGAATTCTGAGGGTGGCCCAGCGCTGGCAGGGCTGTCGCTGGGGTCCGTCCCCCGGGGGCGCTGCCCTTGGGGTACTCTGTTCCTGTAGTAGCCCTGGTCTCCTGAGGGAGTTGCACTTGGTGGGCCTCACAGGATGCGCTGGGGCCAGGCTCTGCCTCGGGTCTCACTGGCCCACCTGTGGGTGAGGGGGGGGGGTGCTGGATGGAGCAGCAGAGGCCGGGCGGCGCTCAGTGTTGTCTCTCAGCTCTGGTGTTCAGTATTAGCGGTGACGTTCTGTCGTCACACCACTCACGCAGCGATCAGGAGACCTCACCTCAGTGTGAATGCTTCATGTGGGTAATTTATGGAAGCCCCCAATCTGTATGTTTGTTCTGAGTATTTAGATGAGAATGTTACTGGAATGGAACTTTCGTAACCCAGAAGGTAGTATTTATAATGCACAATCATTTACTTGTAGTGAATTGTTTAAAGTTAACACTTGTTTAAATTTTTTTACACTATAGCATTTATGCAATGGTTTACAGAATTCATGGAATTATTTTTATCAGTATGGAATTAAAACTTTGAATCTTTATTTGTCCACATCTTCATGTATAACCCTGAGAGCCACTGGCCTAGAAGGCAGAGAGGAAGCCCGTCCTCTGCCTGTAGTGTGCTTGTCCCGGGACCCCTTGCCCTGCACTGTGGCCGGGCCTGCTCCTTGTTCCTGCTTCAGGGTGCCAGTCTGGTTGTCTTCCCCCAACCCAGGTCAGAGGGTGTTCCCAAGCAACCCTGGGTTGCCTGGTAGCTGCTCTGCGGTTCTGTCCGTGGGTGTCTTGGAGTCCAGGTGCTCAGAGCTGGAAGTTTCTGCCAAAATACCAGGAAGAGGACAGGTCAGAGCCCAGCTCACAGGCAGCGGGTCCCAGGGTGGGACCTGGCCCCTCCGCTATGCACGATTTACCTGAAGGATTGCTGTAGGGAATGCTGTGTTGGGTTAGCACACTTCTAAGTCTTTTAATCTCCTTCGACAGTTCCTTATGTGCCTGTAACAGGAATGTGAAGGGAAGGTCAGCCCCTGGGCTGCAGGCTGTCTGTGTGCAGGGCAGCCGGCCCCCTTGGCACCTTATTGCAGCTCTCCAACGTTTCAAACACTGGGCCCTGAACACCGCCTTCCTGTTGTGCTGGTTCGCTTTCTTCTGGGGTCTTTAAATAGCCAGCGTCTTCAAAAAGGGCCCTGAGTAACTTCTCATGTCCCTGTGGGTAAAGGAAGGACACCCAGTTCCTGGCCGTGTTGCACCCAGTCAGGGCGTGCCCACCCCAGCACCTCACCTGGGGAGTGATTAGCTCATCAGCCAGGTCCTGTTCCACCTGGTCCCACCTCTGCTGCAGGGCCATGGGCAGGGCTGGGTACACTGAGATTCAACAGAACCCAGACTCAGCTGAGCCCCTCTGCCCCACCCCCCACAGCCCCAGCATACTACCTAACAAGGAGTGGGGGTGGCAGACAAGGGGTGTCTCGAAGGTCAGTGCATACACACAGGTGCTTGGCTCAGACACATGAGCTAATCGGTTGCTTTTTCCACAGGTAAGCTCCACCTGCAGGGAAACCTTGGTTGGTGGGTGGGTGAAGCAGGGGCCCCTCTTCCAGGCCCCCTCCCATACGGCCCCACCTTGCTTTGCCGGCTCCGGGAGTGGCAGGAGTCACCGTCCCTCATCCACATGCCCCTGAAGGTGTTGTTGGCAATTTCCCACTCATGCCAGATGCTGGGGAGGATCAGAACACAAAGTTGGGGTGGGTGGGGGGCACCACTCCATGGGGCCTGCAGCGACATGCTTGTCCCGTGCCCAGCTCACCCGAGGATCCCGCTGTAGGCGTTCCAGCGGAAGGTCTGCTCGTGCTGGGTCACATTGTGGAATGGGCAGAACTCGTACTTGTACCTGGGGGCACAGCCGCTGTCAGGGGTGTCCCAGCCCCTTCCCCTGCCGCCCCTCCCCTCACTCACGTGGACTCCACCAGGCTGAAGCACTTGCCAGAGAGTCTGAAGAGATGCACAGGCCCTAGGAGAGAATGCAACATACGGGGTCCAGTTTAAGAGCAAGCTTGCAGACCAGGCAAAAAAAAAAAAAAACAAAACCCAACTACCCACAAAGCAAGCTGCTCAGGAAAAAGATGGGTTTAAGCTTTAAGAAGGGAGCATGAGAGCACGTGTGATGTCAGCAAAATCTCAGACCAAGGAAACACCAAGCTCATTTCCCTGTGCGACACTGAAAGAGCACCAGAAGCTGGCCGGGCTGACCTTGGAGGTTTCTGGAACACAGGTATAGCAGCCAAGTGGATACCAAGAACAAAAGCACCTTCCAGGTGGTTGCACAAGTATCACAGCATTTTTCTTGCCCTGTGCCAACCCCACCCCTAGCGTGGCCACAAGGAGCAGGCCGACCTTATCTCCAACATTTCAGCCTGGCTGGGGCTACCGGAGGACTGGTCCCCGTTTTGTCTAACTCAGACCTCAGGTGGGAACTCGGGCACTGCTCATGAAAGGTGTGGGGGCCTCAAGACTCAGAAGTTTGGGGCTAGAGGTTATGGGGAGATGCAACAGACCAAATAAGGCCCAAGGAGAGGCTGGGGTGAAACTCGGGAATAGAGATACTCAAGAGCAGCCATGTACGTGCCTGCAAATGAATCTCAGGCTGCTGCTCCCTAGGCTCAGGGTGTGCCCAGCAATTGATGAAGATTGACTCCACTGCAGAGCCAGTCTGCAGACAACTGGTAGAGGTGCCTTTTCTCAAAGAACCATTTTTCAATAAAGTACTGCAAGGCATACAAAAGAACAGGAAAACACCACCTATTCCTAGGCAAAAACCAGGAGAGCCATCCCAGGAAAAGTCCAAACACTGGACTAACAAGACTTTTAATCAACTATCTTCAAATGATATGTAGCAGAGATAAAAATTACAGAAAGAACCCTGACCAGTGTGGCTCAGTGGGTTGGGTGTCATCCTGCAAAGCAAAAGGTGCCAGTTTGATTCCTGGTCAGGGCACATGTCTTGGTTGTGGGTTCAGTCCCTGGTTGGGGCACGCCCAAGAGGCAACCAATTGATTTTTCTCTCCCTCTCCTCCTCCCTCCCTTCCCCTCTCTTAAAAAAAATTCTGAAAGAAAACACATTAAATAAAAACAAAATTATAGAAATCAAAAAGAAATCCTGGAGATGAAAATACAAATGAAATGAAAAAATCACACAAGGGATTCCACAGCAAATCTGAACAGAGGAAAGAATTAGTGACCAGAACTTAGAGTCCTGGGGGACGCATCATGGGAGTCCCTGAAGGAGAGGAAAGAGACAGAGATTAAGGAAATGACTGTAGAAAATGTCTGACAATAGTCTGACAGAAGGCATGACTCTACAAATCCAAGAAGCTCCAAGCATAATGAACTCAAACTCACACCGAGACACAAGAAACAAATGCCAAAAACCATGTCTTGAAAGCAACAAGTGACTTGTCCTCAATAAGATTATCAGCTGATTTTTCTGCAGAAACTTTGGAGACCAGAAAACAGTGGGATGAAACCCCAGGATTCTATATCCAGGAAAAATATCCTCCAAAAATGAGGTAAATAAAAGCTAAGGAAGTTCACTGTCAATTAGACTGCCCTACAAAAATTGCTGAAGGGAGTCCTTCAAGATGAAGGCCTACAAAAACTTCCTATAAAGGGCAAATTACAAAGCCAGCATTGCAATTTTGATGTGTACATGTACAGAATTTGAAAGATGCATAAAAAATGTTAAATGTCAGCAAGTGCACAAGGTATAAGGAGGTCATTTGTGAAAACAGTAACGGTGGAGAAACAGCTAAATAGGAGTATTTATATGCAATTGAAGTTAAGCTGGTATTGATGTAAATTCAAATCAGACTAAAAACTTGAGGAGGGCACCAGCAGATCCATCTTTCCACTGTGCCCTCACATGGCAGAAGGAAGGATCCAGCACCTCTCTGGAGCCCCTCTGTAGGGCAGGAATCCCATTTGTGATGGCTCCACCCTCAGGACTTACGCACCTCCCAAAGACCCAGCTCCTAATGTCATTTGAGGGGTTAGGATTTCAACATACAAATTTGAGGCGACAGGCCACAGCAGGTGTCTACAGCAGTCACTGTCACAGAGCGAGAGGATGGCAGGTACCAGGGCCCAGGGTCAGGGAATGAATGTGTGGTCAGTGTCTGACAGAGACAGGTTCCATCTGGGGGGATGGGGTCCCGGGGATGAACGGTGCCGACACTGCACAAAGACGTGCACACGCTTGCCGCCTCTGCACTGCACACCTACATGTGGCTGAACTGGTGGGGTTTTTGTACACTTTACTATAACAAATGGGGAATTCATGGTTTTTTAGGCTTGCGAAACAACAAAACACCAGAAGGTTAAGTCACAAAATAACAAAAAAACAGTGATACTGGCCTAAAAAACTGACACACAGATCAGATCGATCGAATAAAATAGCCCAGATATAAACCCATGCATACATGGTCAGTTAATTTATGACAAAGGAGCCAAGAATACACAACGAGGAAATGGTGAAACTACACAGCCACATGCAAAAAAAGAAACTAGACTGTTACCTTCAACATACATAAAAATTAAATTAAAATGGATTAAGAGCTTGAACATAAGACCCTAAACCATAAAACACCTGGCAGTAAGGACAAAATATACGCAATAAGCTTTTTGACATTAGTCTTAGCAATTATTTTTTAGATCTGACTAAAAAACACAAAAGTAAACATGGGATATTAAACTAAAATCTTTCTGTATAGCAAAGGAAACCAACAAAATGAAAAAGCAACATATTGAATGGGAGAAAATATTTGTAAATCATGTATATCATGTAAATCATGTATAACTGGTTAATATTCAAACTATATAAAGATTTAATACAATTTGCCCTGGCTGGTGTGGCTCAGTGGACTGAGTGCCAGCCTATGAACCAAAATGTTGCTAGTTTAATTCCCAGTCAGGGCACATGCCTGGGTGGTCAGCCAGGTCCCCAGTAGGGGGCCTGCGAGGAGCAACCAAATGATGTTTCTCTCCCTCTCTTCTCCCTCCCTTCTCCTCTAAAAATGAGTAAATAAAATCTTTTTTTAAAAAAGGGATACAATTCAGTAGCAAAAAAACAATCCAGTTAAAAAATGGGCAGAGTATCTGGACAGATATTTTTCCAAAGAGAACGCACACACGGACAACAGACACGTGCCCAGATGCTCTACAGCACTATTCATAAGGACAGGCCAATCAAGACCACATGAGATACCACCTCACACCTGTTAGAAGGGCTGTTACTAAAAAAAGGAAATAACAAGGGTTGGCAAGGATGTGGAGAAGAGGGAAGCCTTAAACCTTGCTAGTGGGAGTGCACACTGGTGCAGCCACTGTGGAAAACAGTGTGATGGTCCCTCAAAAATTACAGCTACCATATGATGCGGAAATCGTACTTCTGAGTATTTACCCAAAGGAAACAAAAACACTGATTTGAACAAGTATTTTCCTTATGTTCACTGCAGCATTATCTGTGATAACCAAGATATTGAAGCTACCTAAT